AAAAAAAGAAATGTATATATAAAAGTAATTATTTTAAATAAAAGTATTTGAAATTAGAAAATTAAAGAAAAAAAAAAGTTTTCGAACAAATAAAAATCAACTCTCGAAATTAAAATTTTTTTTACAATCAAGATAAAAAAAAAAAAAAAAACTTTGTAAATTGTTTTGTTAAACATGTTTAATAATTGTTTTTATATGTATTTATTTATAATTTTTTTGGCAATAGGTCAAATTTCAAATTCTATATTCAACTTTTAACAAAAAAAAAAAAAGAAAAATACAATCAAATGAGCAATGTTATTTATTAAAATATATATTTTTATATCATTGTATATAAATTAATCAAACATTGCATTTTAAAACAAATAAATTAATAATAATTAAAATAAATGATTATAATTATAACAATTCATCTCTGATATTATTTAATATTTTATCATAATTTATATAATTATATTTAATTTTTGGACATTGTAAGCTTTCAGATAGTAATATTGACTTACAATGACCTAAAGGTGACCTTTATATTTCTTTAACAATTTAATAAAGTTTAACGAACTTAAATGCTAAATATAATTCTTAATAAAATTTTATTACTCTTTTACTATAATTTATTTATCCCTATTATTATTATTATTATTATTATTATTATTTTGTTTTCAGAGGGTGTATTATTTGTCTTTGGAATACTACATGGGAAGATCATTACAAAATACCATGATAAATCTTGGAATACAATCATCATGCGATGAAGCCATGTATCAGGTAAATATTTTTGTTCATCGTTTCAATTCAAACTTTTTTTTTTTTTTTAATTATTTTAACATTTGTCTTTTTTAATCATTTATTTTTTTTTTTTTTTTTTTAGCTTGGATTAGATATTGAAGAATTGGAAGATTTAGAAGAAGATGCTGGATTAGGAAATGGTGGGTTAGGTAGATTAGCAGCTTGTTTTGTAGATTCAATGGCTACATTAGGATTAGCAGCTTATGGTTATGGAATTAGATATGAATATGGAATCTTGCTCAAAGAATAG